AATGACCGGTCTTAGTTTGTTTTAGTTAAAAATTGTACAATAGGATTCACTAGAGATTTAAGAGTTTTAAAATTCCCATTGTGTAAATTAGAACAAGACGTGGTAAGAAAATTTATTGGGATGCACCCTGTATTCACTTTCACTTGTGAGGAAGATAATGCGAGTAAACCACACTTTTTGGATGTCTTGCCATTCAGAAGAGAAGATGGTTCACTCAGCAGATGTGTTTACAGGAAGACATCATCTCATCACATCATCAGTACACACACTTTCTTAGCCACATACCCATTCGGAACAAACTGAATCTGGTTGAATGCTTAACTAAAAGAGCCAGAAGAATATGTTCAGATTATTTAGTAGAGAAGCAGTTAGAATATATATATGCACAGAGCAAATGGAAGCAAGCCTGGAATTATTGTCGTAAAAAAGGAACCGTTGTTCATGAACTTGAAATTTAATGGGGAAGTAGCCGGAGAAGTTTTATATCAGAAACTCTCCTGGAGCCATTCAGAGGACTTCCTATGCCGTACAACTCTGTCTATCATCTTCCAGTTGATCAATCACTGTTGCTTAGATAATAGATGAGGTGTCCAGTTTTACCATTTCTATGTTCATTTACAAGTTTAGCTGCTGCTATGGAGAAAGCTATATGTGGTGTACTACTAGACAACTTAACCGACTTGTTGCTGAGAATCTACCTTCAAGGTTGGGAAAGGGACTGTTGAAATCCATCAGACTTTCGGTATTGTCTCACTTCGTTGATAGTAGTCACTTGGTAGATAAGAGAAACGCTACACGATTATTCACTGCATACCACCTCATCTTTCGAAAGGTATTGAAACTCGTCATTTACACCACATAGCAGAAGCTGTGAGGATTCGAGCTAATAATGTTAGTTTGTGTATCCCGAAGAAATTTGTACATCCCTTATCTCTATCTTGGCCAGGAAATATCTTATTAATAACTCCACCATTGAATTTTTTCCCTGACCCTTTCTTATTCTTCACTCCCTTCATATACTTACTATCTTTGTTTGGACTTTATTTATACACTTACCTCATCCTCCAGCATTACGTAACTTGCAATTTTCCACATGATCTTTTGACACACTTTGATTATGGGAGTGTCTACATTTTCATTCTGCTTTCTTGATTCTTACCATCATTATCATGTATATTGCAAGTGATTTAGTCGATGCTATCATTTTTATGATTTGTCCTCATCGTCATTTATCACATTATCCGACAAATCTACACATTCGGTTTATGTATATCAAGCTTTTTTTAAAAATTAGACTAAAGCTTGAAGATGATCTTATTAGAAACTGTACAAGCTGCTTTTTGTTTAAATTAGAATCTGTTTGAAGTATATGTTTGAATTAGGATTTTATGCTGTAGTTATTCACTAGTCTTTATAAAAAGTGGGGAATATATGAGTTCAAGGAGAATTAAGTGAGATACGAAAGGTTCATGTGAAGTCAAGCTACAATCATTGACTTGTGTACCTCATTGTATGTAGAGCTTTCCTCCAACCTCTAAAGATAGACATTTTATTGCTTGATACAGTTATCTAAACTTACGAATACTTTACGCTTATCGTTTATGTCGTCATTGATGTTTATCTTTGTATGCTGGCTATAGTTGTTTTTTTGCTAGTTTTCTGCAGGATTGAGTATGTATGTTTTTGTTGAAGAGCAGAAATCTTTGAAATTATTTAGTCTACTTGACAGTGACAAATAAATTTGATTCCTCCATTGTGCACTATGACCAGTGAATTAATGAGTAATTGGCGTAAGTATTTAACCTCTAATCAAGTGAGTCTGGTTTTCCGAATTCTCTTTACCTACAGAGGTTAAAACAACCAATTAGTACCATTAATCCTCACACAACATGTTTGGCTGATATCCTGGTATAGAAAACTGAATATGGCTGTCAAGTGTAATATCGATAAGTTAAATCCAACGTTCCACTTTCTAGGGATAATGGGTAGATTCAAAGGTCAGTCGATAGCAAACCAACTTAGACCGATCAGTTCATTAACTTTAATAGTTGGGTACCTCTCAACTGTAGAAGAAATCTCATTCACTCAGTGTGTTCTAGAATCCATAAAATCTGTTCAAAAGATATAGTAGATGTTGAAATCGAAACTTTTAGAACAACACTATCGAATAACGGATACCCTAAAAGATTTATTGATAAAAATCTGAAGAAAAGAATCACTTCTCATCTTAGCCATGAATCTGAAATTCAAAGGAAGTATGACAGCCGAAGTGCTGAAAGGCCGTCTGTCAAAGTTTATCAATAGTCGCTTTTATGCTGCTAGACTGAGGCTGATATTCTCTATCCACCGTCTGGTTCGACAATGCGTGAAGGATAAGCTACTACTTATGTCCATATCTATGTGTATCTACAAATTCATATGCTCCTGTGGAGCTGAGTATATTGGACGTTAGAAAATGGGCTCTCCGAAAACGTGTTTCTGAGCATTACCCGGTTTGACTTACCAAAGGCGAGCGAAGAAAAACAACTTCATTGATATGTGAACACCTAGTAGAGCTAGGTCATTTAACCCTTCGAGATTCATCCTTTAAGGTAATTTACAAAGTTAAATGAAACTACTCCGAAGGTTTACATTTCCACCACTTATGCATAGCCGAATTATTAGCTATACATGAACAAACACCGAAACTTTGCATTCAAAAACGTTCTGTCAAACCACTGCCTCTACCTTCGCTCTACTAATTCTTTTTGGTTACTTTTGTCAATTTCATTTCACTTCACTCTTCCTTCACAGCACTTGTCCTTTATCTCACCACTTGTTATTATTTCATCCCTCCTTATTCACAGTTACCTATTTTCTATTTCTTCCACTTGAACAAATCAAAACCCAACACCAACACCGATCATTGTATATTTTGCATATTGACTGAGCCAACTTTTTTCATCAGTACAATTATCTGTTATTTTATGGAGTATAAAGACGACTGTACAGCTTGATAATAAAGTTGTTGAAAAGAAATATTTCTTTTTTTATTCATGAATAAATGGGTGTATTTCGTCCGTTAATATCGATTTATTTTGAAAGCTTCAAATAAGAGTATTTAATTAGTAGTCGTCAGTGAAATCCTACATAATACATGGAATAAAGCCTTTCAGCGGATGTCACATTTGTAATTCATGCTTCATTTCATCTGCAAATAATGGGGATCTATAAAGTGCTGTTTTAGGGTAGCATAAATGAACAGAATTTATCACTTTTACGTTGGTCTATCAACGATAAGTTTATTGGATCAGACAGTAGTCAACCTCCTACATCCAACAACTTTGAGAAATGGCAAGTATTGAAAATAAGCATCACAATAAGAAGACAGCCATAACCTTCGAATCAATTATCAACATTGAACAAGGGAAGGACAACCTGCAAGAATGTAAAAAGTTTGAAATCTTCCGCATAATTGAGGATAGCGAGGATGTAGAACCATAGGGTCATTTTCAACATCACTTTGGTTCAAGTTCGATGAATAAGCTTCTGCCAGAAAACATATCGGGGGTCAGTCACCCTATTAACGGTACATAAAATAGGAGGGAAAAGCACTTCTAACTTAAAACAGATTTTGACTTCGTGAAGTTATATTCAGGTCCACGAAGGACAAGAATACGGCGACCTTCTTGAACATTGGGCTACTAAATCGTTCCACCAAATATATCATCATCAACGTAGCACAAGGCATTACTGCGTAACAATCCAAGTTGCCACATATTGTATTACCACATCAAGTAACAAGGCAATAAAATGGAAGAAGGAAAGAAAAATCGGTCAAAAGGAATAAAAAGTGGTGAGAGGGGGAATGAGAGAATGATGAGAGAAAATATAGCAGTTAAGATGAATATAATGTGCTCCACTGACATTGGTTCTCTGCTATATCGCCTACAGTCTACAACCGGCTAGTTTACATCCCCCTACATAGCTCAAACGAACAGTCAACAACATACATCGATGCCGTGTTTTAGTCTGGCCGCCTCAAGCCTTCCTCTCGCCTCAACTTACTTCAGCCAACATTGTGCGACAAGGGAGACGGTGGCTTGGCATACGTAACACATGTCCCAGCCAGCCATCTCAGTCGATCAAGGTTAACAACCGCATCCACTAACTTACCTCTCCTGCCTAATACTCTACATCTGACTTCTGCGTTATTCACGTAGTGAAACCACAAAACACGGCCTATGCTACGAAGTCAATGGTGATCAAACACCACTTGAATGACCATGTTTCCTGCCAGCCATACAGTAAAACATAGAGGAGTGTTCTGCAGTACATGGGACCCTTAATGGACAGTCGGATATCATAGCTGTACCACAGACGGCGTAAGTTGGCAAGAGCTAACCAAGCCTTTTGTACTCGTGCAGAGGTTTCGTCGGTCACTGAGCCATCAGGGCTGATCCGACTTCCCAGGTAAGTGAAGTGTTCAACACACTCAACCACTACACTCTCTATTGTTAGCTGAGGCACCGCTGACGTTCTGGAGCAATAATTTGCATTTGGATGGTGAGAAACGCATCCCAAACATTATCAAAGTGTACAGAAGACTCTACATCTTGTCAGCGTCTTCACCTAACGGAAATATATCATCTGCATTTTCTAGGTCTACCAGAAATTCTCCTATGATTAAATCAATTCCGTTGTATTCAGATGACGAGAGGTAGACCTCCCTGTTCAGTGAGAGACATTGCCACAAGACTTCTCGATCGATGAAGTCGTATGCCACCTTCAAGTCAAGGAATACAGCTACTATCGGGCGTCGTTAAGCGCCCTGAATATATATACATCGAATTCTTCCTCTTGAATGCATCATGTCTTATTTTCATGATAGATAAGTTGAGATGGAATATGACTTATCTGTAAATATGATTATATAGCTTTTAAAGATGAAATCATCGTAAGGAGAAACTTTCTGCGCTGAAATATTTTTGTCTTTATGGAAATTTTTATTTCATTTTCAGTTATCACCCGAGATCAATACTAGTCTGGCAAACCATGGTTGTATCATATAATCGAATTGATAAGTAATAGAAATTTCCAATTTGAATATCGTTTACTGTTGTATATACTTGAAATATTTTCAACTATCCGTTTCTCTACTGAATAACAAAAGAAGAAAAAATATCGGTGCATAAAACTGTATCATATTTCTATTCCTTGGATGCTTCAGCTTGAGTTCCAGATTCTTGTTCTGACTGAATGAACTACCTACCACTGAAATTACGCTGACTTTTTTTCTGTTCATTCTCCATTCTAAACTAAAAGGTAATCCAACAATAGCTGTCTATTTCACACTGTTGCCTTAAATACTGTTATTAGTAGTATCATTCAGATGCAATCACCAATTTAGTATTATTGCTTGTATTATACCGTCGTTGACTGGATCAAAGTGATCGGTCTCTATAGGCATATGGGCTCCTGTAGGGATCCCTCGATATTACCTATGTTCTAATTATAGTAATGACAAGTCATAAATAGGACGAAATACACATCCTAGATTCCACTGCTAGCCATCATTACAATAACCATTTTTTGTCTGAAAATATTGTCTAGGAGTGACTTTGATGAAATATTATGCGCTGAGAATTCCATACTCTATCACACATATTGTTTAGAATAAAGTGATTATTATTATATTTCAAGAAAAGTTTGATAAACTTTGGAGAAGTAGAGTTTTTGTAAGTAAATATTCGCCTTCTGCTGATGGAATCAATAAGTGTGAAACAGAAGAAGGACTGAAATCCCTATAAGTAGCAAAAGAGAAAGATTTATTTCTATTTTAAAGCTTGGAAATAAATGATGCCGAAGCCTCTATGAATAGGAAGAAAACTCACTCCTGAATAAATGTACCTAGCCAAGTAATATGATAAACATATAAAACCCAGACAAAATTCTTGTCACAGAAACATAACTCTCTTCTAAGATCAGTGGTGGATGGAGTACAGTGCCAAGGATTAGTTATCGTTCGAAATGATATTTAAGCCCTGAGAGTCATCTTTTAAGTAAAGAATACCATATCTATAAGAGCCATAGAAACGGTCGCAGACGATAGTGAGACACTTGAAGTGCAGTGTTGCTGACTGAAATGTACGATAAAAAGGTATTCATTTAGTTGTCGTATGTAATAACCCCAAAGGTGAGGTGGGAGGTTTCAGTCAATAAAAACAGCCTTATTACACACGCAGCAATTAACTCATTTTATCAAAGATTGATGGAAACCTCAATTTGCTGGACTGTTATACAGTGCATAAGGCTAAACGCCCAAAGCCGTTATCAGCAAGTTCCATCAGTTTTGAACTTGGAACTCATTCATAAGATGATACAGGCTTCTTCTTGCACCCCTCGAAAAAGTAATTATGTGATCATCTTCAGATTCATTGCCACCATGTTGTTGCATGCTGAAATCCCACATCATTTGAATGTGTGGAAGGCAATCTTGGCATGATGTTTTTTCATGCAGTTTTACACCTCAGCGACTCAACCGTTCATCCTCTGAATTATCTTGAAGCGAAAAACACTCGTTCACAGATAAGTTTTAAAGTCTGTAGCTTGATACAAACAAAGAAAGTGTCTAGGTCTCATCACTAATCTTAGTGCTCTCGAAATGAAGAAGCAGTAAAATACAGCCGGGACTGAGAGTATCACCGCAATTCACCGATCTCGAATATGATTCGAAACACATCTTTCCCAGAGTTATAGTCGAACATTAAAAGGCGCTTTTTTCCTATGCGAACTATGGGAGTAAAATATGAAGTAGTATCCTCACCTTAATTGGATCAGCAGAAACTCCTCATATAATTCCAAACGACAAACCGGAGGCTTTGGCTCGATACTTGGTCGAGGTTTTTACCCAAAAACTGTTGGAACATCGCGAATATCGACTGCAGCTATATATTTTCGACAGTGAGTACTCTGGATAGAGGAAAATCAGTAGTACTAGGTGATCTACAAACAAGGCTTCTTTGAGAACTTGCCTCCAGTGTAGCTTGTCCAGCGACTACTTTATTTGGACTGTTCCTCCTTTCAATGTGTCCTCTCATACAACTGGAAGAATTTCACAGTCACATCTATGCACAACGAAGGCTCTAGACATAACCTACGAAATTACCGACCGATGAGATCAACTAGTAGTACTATTGTTGTAACTCTAGAAATTGTAATCAAGAAAGCCATTAGAGTTCATCTAGAAAACAATACGCTATTACCACGTTCGCACCATGAATTTCTTAGGCTTGAAAGCTTCACAATCAGAAAAAGTTGGGTAAAGTCTAAGGATGATAGAAAGCCTGTAATATCATTTTCATAGACTTGAGTTAGGCATTTGACAAGGTACCTAACTTTAATTTGCTCATGAAACTGAAAAGTTTTTAGATTGAAGGGTTCTTTGTTGGCGGGAAACACAACAATACCTCTAAATTTCGTACTTTTTTTCGTGAAAATCTACTAACAGTGGAGTTCTGAAAGGCACAGTTTAAGGTGCCCTGATGTCTGTCTTATGCATAAACGAATTATCAAGCACCATGAAAGCCTCGATGATTCTCTATGCTAGTGGTGCAAAATTCTGATGTAAATTAACAGATGATGACGATCTGCGCACACTTTAAGTAATAATAATGACCTAAGCATCAGTACATATATAAGGGAACGTTGATGAATGACAAAGTTCACGATCTAAACAACCAATACAGGGAAACAAGTCAGACTTTAAAATCGATCAGTAAACACAAAGTAACATGGTAGTGACGTGATAGTACAGGAATGTGATTACAGCTCAAGATGGTAGGACGTCTAATGGTAGGGGGGAGAGAACAACAAAGATAGTAAGGCAAAGTATATGAGTTAATGGTAGAAGAATAGAAAGTGGGTTTGAGTAAATCAAAAAATGATGGGAATATCAATAATGTTTGAGGATAATATGCAAGACAATAGGATGAAAAAATAAAATAGTAAATAAGGCTGTAGGAATATAACAGTTCACCAAGGCAATGCAAGCTGAACCACAAACTCTTCTTGTACACATAAGTCTGGTTTCAATCGACGTATTGCTGCCGCTTCTGCACAAAGTAGCAATCTGCTATCTCTTTGTCTATTGATTACCTTAAAAGCTATGTTTGGGTCAACGGTATAACCTGTATCAGGGACTTGCTTGGAAATAGCGCTGCTTGGTATCCTCCCACCCCTCAATGACAAGCTTTTCGGCACATGTCCAGAGATTTGTTTAGTAAGGACCCTCTCCGTCCTTCCGATATACATGTTACTGCAAGTACAGGTGAATAACTAAATACAGTTAGGGGTAGTATGACAAGGTCTTACATCTAAATGTTTCTTTGATCATGTTCTTCGTGTTATAGACAACTGTTATTTCGCAGTTGGATAAGTTAGTGCGATGGATACATTCACTTGTGAAGTCAATTCATCGCTTTTGAATGGTTGTCTGATGAACACGTTCTTTCTCAGCACAGTTGTATCATTCACTTTCTCATTTTTAAGTTTGAAGTGTTTGTTTATTGATGAACTTTATAGGATATCCATTATCTATCGAAGTTTTTTGTACAGTATCCAGTTCATTATCGATGACTTCCTTGGAGTATAGTCTAGTAGCCCTTAAAAATGAAGTCTTGACTAAACTGCTTCTATAAGCAACTGGACAGAAACTATTAAAGAAAACGATAACATTTTACGTTCCATATTAGATTTGTTTATTTGATATATAGCGCACAGTGATACAGTATTATTTACTTGATTACGTTTCGAGCATAAATTATTACTGCTCATAATCATACCAATGTGTATGTGATTACATTGGTATGATTATGAGCAATAAATTATGCTCGAAACGTAATCAAGTAAATAATACTGTATCATTGTGCGCTATATACCAAATAAACAAATCTAATATGGAATTACATTCTACCACAGTGCCTAAGTTTTACACTTATATTAACATTAAACATTGTTAGTTGAATTATTGAAGTGAGATTGTTAATTGTTGCAAAGTTGATATGTGAGTTGTGTTCTAACACGCTTTTCCTCACATAATATGTGTGCTAGATAAGGTACAATCGAATTCTTGTACTTGGCTGTACGAGCGTACGGCCTTATGCAGTTTCTTCTTGTCCTCCCCAAGGAGATACAAGGAGAGAGAGAAAGTTGTGAATTAATGTGGTTGCTCACTGTCAGTTAAAACTACTGTAGCCACTTGCCTGCTAGTATTTAAATATCTGTCAACTACAGTGTTAATCAGTTGAGCTAGTGACACACCACTCATCCTGATGACAGCTTTTAAAGCCCTACGCAAAATAACATAGTCCTTTTTATCAGACCAAAAAGGATCAACGGGTAACAATAGACAGGAAGAATAGGTAAGATACAAGAATTAATAAATTGTAGAAGTAGAAGTTGAGTTATACCAGAGAGCCTCAGTTTCTTTATGTAATAAGTTAAACGAAAGATTTTTTTTACAAGTCAACAAGATATGAGACATAAATAGTCTGTTAACCAGGTTGAAGAGATGATTAATGCCTACCAATAACTGTGCTTACAAGGAGCCAAGGTGGTATCATCTACGATATTGGTCACTTCAGATAGTCTTCATTCGTTCATATGTTAAGGAAGATAAAGTGAATAATCAGATTGTACTTCCGACCTTATTCTTTTAGTAATTTACATTCAACCTAGAAAATGAAGTATATGTATGATCTACATTGTAGTTAGCGTTTTACATACGTGTATTCTATTAACTCATTCAGTATGTAACAACCGATTGTTGATAGATTTTTGTCTAACCTGTAGATAGGTACGTTGTTGCAGGGGGCGTGCAGAGCAGCACGAGTTTAATGGTGACCAAGCGAATCTGGAAGGGAAAGGAGGAAATGGGGAGCCGACGATTCAGTAAGTAGACAGGTTGTACTTGCATTCAATAAAATAAAAGATAACTTACAAACGGTAGAATTGGATACGAAGAGGTGCTGTAGTCTAATAAAATTAAGCACTAACCAATCAGCGAATGACG